TGTTAATTCTCTCATCTGTCTTCATACCTAGATTCCTTGGTTCTGTCCGTGTTTCCCATTCCTTGATTACCCGAGCATGAGTGTGAGTTACAAGCGGGGCAAGCAGTAAAGAAGAGTGTGTTGTGTGGCTTGGCAAAAGAGGAGTGTGTATTACCTTTAACATTCCCTGTCTAGCACTGGACCACCCCCACCACCTTTTACCTCCCCTCGTTACTTGTACATAGTCACCCAGTGTGTTGTAAATACATCCTTTGCACCTTTCTCCCTGTCTGTACTTAAGTCCGTTCAGTCCACCGTGACACTTTATTTACAATCACTGGTACAGCTAAAAGAAGATTTGCTGAAAATTTTGATGACATTATAAACAATTGCATAAACTAATCATGAAAAATTCACATTCTTAATACTCACCTACTCCTGCCCGACTGGAAGCAACAATACCCAAAGAATGTCCACCTTTGAACACAGCATTCTTGTAATCTGAAGTAACTGTGTAATGCCTGGACAAATACTGTTGGATCTTTTCCAGTGGCTCCTGTGGCACGAAGTCTGTTTTGTACTGACTGAATGCAGTAGGAATGTAAGTATGCTCCCTGTCAGAGCTGCAAAAGATCACTAGTCTGTAATCATTTTTAGGGGAGCATAATTTCTGAAAACATTTCTCCATTGCACAGCTAACATCATAGGAAAGTTGGTCTGCCCAGAGCATCGAGTAAATCTTTCTGCCAATGTCACCTGGTGTGAGACATCTTCTCAGAAAAAGCTCTACTTGTTCATAAGATGTTGAAGGGGAACACAAGAGCACTTCATCATAAGTTGGCAATGACCCGTAGTAGTCGTTCATGTACAAGCAGATACTTGATGTCAGGACCTCATCATGTGGGCAGATTATGAGATTAGGTTGTTTTGAGTTTAGGCCTTTTGGAAACTCCCTTCTGAGTGAACAGTCTCTCGTCTCTGAGAGTTCTGGTTCCGCTTCCCACTCATTGTGATTTGAATTGTCTGTCATCAATTGCAAGAGACGTCCTAAACTCCTAATGTCTAGTAGGTCATGAAAAAATATTTCCTCATTCTTCATGTAGCCATTCCACAACTCCTCCAATTCTTTCAAAACAAGAGTCTGGTCTGCCTCATCTGCTGCGTCACTTTCATGTGCAAAATGAATAACACTGTGTGAAGATGAATCCCTGTGTTCATTATCCCTTTTGCGAAGTTCATATTGGTTATGTCTCCAAATACTCCAAACATCTAATGTTGTGCAGTTTGGTTTGATAAAAGAAAGCATCATCAGTGCTCTGTCTTCTATTTCTGTATTTATATTTGTTGGAGTCAAAACGCTGCACAAGTAGAATATTTGTTGTGCTGTGAAATAGTTCAAGTAGTATTGATCTGTTCTCTGTTCGTCCATGAAATTTTGCCAGGCACCAAGAAACATTTCCATCTTATTGGACAGAGCTACAAGCTGTTCAGGTAAACTTCCAGTTACTTTGAAGCAATACTGGGTTTTGCAAAACTTGATTTCCATAATGATACATGGGTCACTCTGAGTTTTGCAATAAATCTTAGCTTCCCAACACCTAAAAATTGGGTTCCCTGCAGTGTAAATGTCTACAAATGCTTTGGCGAATCTTTGGATGTTGTCAAACACCTGAAAATAAAAGGAAATGGGATTATATAGTTATTATAATTATATAGCTATTATAATCTATCTATCTATCTATCTATCTATCTATCTATCTATCTATCTATCTATCTATCTATCTATCTATCTATCTATCTATCTATCTATCTATCTCTATCTATCTATCTATCTATCTATCTATCTATGATCATATACATTCTGTAACTGTTTGTGTCAGTAACAATTTACAACAAAGTCAAACCTCAGTGAAGCGTTCAACTTCACTCTGGTTCTGTTGTTTTTTTCCAGACATCAGCATAAGCTTATTTTGCAGCTCTTTGAGGTCCTCATAGGTATATGTCATGTTTTTATGACTATCGTCAATTTGCAGTGTCAGGGAATTCTCGACATTAACCTATAAAGGGAAATATCAAAATTATAATACTATTTAATACTGTTAAAAATTCAACTCAGCTCAAAGGAAAATTAATCTCAGCCCACATGAAGATTAATTTCTCAGATTTTTTTTAAATTCAGAAAATTACAAGAAATAACCATATGAAAAGTAACAAAAAAAAGTTAAGAAAACAAAATATAGCAACACATATGTGATATTACAGTTGTGGAAATTCTTTCAAAATTAAGGATTATTGTCATGTAATCATGTATGTACCTGTTGCTGGTCTTGTGCCTTAATGATATATATCCCTCTGTTATTGACAGATGTAGCCATAGACAGAGATGAGAATTCAACAGATCCATGACTTTCTCTAACAGACTTTAACCATTCCAGGTGTCTGGAAGTATCCCACTGAAATGAGACATCAGTCAAAAGAAATGAACAGAGCAAGTTCTGGCTTTGCAATTTCAGCACTTTTAAACATCAGAGCCTATAATTAATGTGAATGCCGTTTTAGTTTCTGAGATTAAAGAAATGTCAACCGTTCTCATATCTTGGGCAGAAATAGCCAAGATGGAGGGCACTTTTTAAACTGCTATTTCTTGGTGAATTTTACTGGTATAGGCACAAAAAACACAAAAAACAAAAAACAAGATTAGATAGAACTTTTCTATCTAAAGTTCTATCTAATCTAATATCCTGATTCAATAACATCTATTTTGTCTCTTTTGCTCTTTTGTCAGGCCTTTTACTCAAACAATGCACCATGAATTTTTTTTTAATGCAAACTGGAGACTATTGAGTAGGATACTTGGTTGATTTGAAATAAAATTAACGTATGCGAATTACAGCAAGCAAGTTATTTGATCATATTTGTTTATTTGCATCACAGGCAAATTATGTTGTACATGGGGCTTGTTTCTTTATCAGTTACTATAATAGCAGAACTTCTACCTGTTTCTATGCTGATCTACCATTTTTTTTCCATGGTTGCATTTTTGCTCAGTTATTTTAACTCTGGTTTGACTAGAGTGTTAATGTTAGTTATAGCATTGCATGAAAGATGGAATCTTACCAGCTTTTTTGGTATATTTTGGTCATTATCAAGTGCCTTCCACAATTTTTTTAACGATTCATTGAACTTCGCAAAATCAGAATCCTGCTTCAGATCATACAGCATGGATGAGTAACCAAGAACAGCATCATGAAAGCAGGCCACTCGATCGACATCCATATCATTTTCTCCAGCAGAGATTGATGCCAGGTCAACAAACACTTTCAGCTCATTGATGTCTGCAATTAATAGCATCCTTCAGATGTTGTAAAATGCATTTAATTTTTAATAATCAAAAAACGAAATCTCTGTACCTTTAAGTTCTTGTTTAGTCCACTGGATAAAGTCTTTACACTGAATGAGCTTTTGCAGACATTTCTTACGATCGTCTGAAATGTCTTTCAGAATATTTTTTGCATGTAGAAAAGCATCATCAATGTAGCTTAGATTGTTTTTCTTGAAGTTGGATTCATTCTGAAAAATGCACATTTACACTAAACGGCTAGAGTTTCTTCAAATGAACTTATTTGCAATGATCTTCAGTGGGTGTAAACATACCATTTGAAGCAGTTTCTTCAGTACTCTGAAGTCCCCTTGTGGACATATTATATTTTTGATATTCATGACAATTTCGGAAGTTTCCAGTACTAGATGAATATCCTGGTACTGCTGAATCTGGTTAACCCTTTCACTGATCCATGATTTGTTATCAGATGGGTCTACTCTGCACATGATGTTTAATTCTTTCTCCAAGTCTTCATACTTGCCTTTATAGGCTTTAAAGATACTGTCAGTTTCCTCCAGTAGAAGCTCCCCACTCTTAAGACTAACATGAAGCCTTTTGTAGTTGGTGTAGCAGGTCTGGAATATTTTGTTATAAACCTGCTCAAAAGTGTAGATTTCTTGATTTCTGTCACTGTTGCCTTCTTGAGATTGGTCTCTTGTCAGTACCTCCACTTGGTTTGTCCAGCACATTTTGAAGAGTCCACTGTCTTTAATGGTATGGATATTAGAAGCCATCTTGTGGGTTTCATCACACAGGTTGAAGTAAGTGACATTCGATGTTGCACTAGAGTTCAGGCCATCCAGTGTGTGAACCTTCATAAATTCACTCAGATTCATTGTCTCAAAGTTCTGCTTAAGTTTCGTATCCAAACCATTCAAGTCAACTGTGGATTCAATGTGGAAAAGCTGTTATTACAAAAATGTTTGTACATATTAAACAACAACAATTTTTCTTAGCCTTAACTGCAGTATTTTCAGCCTCAGTGTCTTTCAAGTCAAAATTGCTGGAAATTAATGGCTGGAAGTTAACAATTGTCATCTCTATGCTGAATTGACATGGGGGAACTGGTTTTACAAAGGGCATGCACGCAAATGCTAAGTAACGCAATGTATGCTACTTCAATTGCATACAATTGTAGTCCATACAGACAATGTTCATTTGTAAATGATTAACTAACAATCTTGAGCTTAAAGTGCTTTGGCAATATTGTAGAAAATGTTAAACTTAATCATCATCTCGGCCTCCTCTGACGACCTGTTTGCTGTTGTCTGCTGCTGAAAGGCAGTCGGGAGATGGGACACTTGGGCAGTGCATTTATTGCAGCATATAATGTGTTTTCTGGATACACTGTGCTTTTTCAGCATTCAAAGATTGATGGCACCGTGTCAGAGCACTGGCTATGAATTTCAGACGGATCAGGCCTTAACTTAACAAAAAAGTTATCAATAGTTCTTTTCATCTTTTCTTATTACCCACAGCTACATCCACTTCTGTCGGGCCTAGGCTGCTCACTAGGGCTGGGTATCATCACTGATTTCTATAATCCATTCGATTCCGGTTCTCAAGTCCTGATTCGATTCAATTTAGCCTCAGACAGTCAGAAATATTATAATTCTGATCATTTATCAGTACTGATACATGTGAGACTTCATCAGAATTGTGAACATCACAGCAGATGCCTTTGTGTGAAAGTAACTGAGAATAAAACACAGAAAAACATGAAGGAGATTTTCCTGGTCTGGCTTTTTATAGCAGATAACCTTAAAAATATTCTGCAATATTCTGCATAATTTTAAAAGTTTAAATTTCTTCATATTGAACAGAAAAAATAGGCTTTCTTGTCCGAGGTCATTTAAGTGAAAAAAAGAAAAAAAGAAGAAGACAGCAGCCGACAGCGCTGTAAACAACGGTAGACTGGTGGGTAATAAGCGAATGAATAATACAGAAAACAGAGATTGGAGACAGGAAACTGTTCTTGAAGTACAAG